GCACATGGCAGTGGGAGACAGACACGTCCCCCCAAAGCCACCTGGCAACAAGCATAGAGGGAGAAGGTCTGCATTCAAAAGAGGAACATCCTGGGAAATGCTGCAGCTTTGAAATAACTCTTAGACAACAACGCCCCAAAGCATGGCCTTTATCCCAACGCATGACCAGCAAATAAGAAACTTAATACAAAAGTACCCTGGGGCACAGTATTTACTCAGAGGAAAGGAGCTGACATACCAGGCTGGACTTAGCACCCACTGCTATTTCAGTGCAGCAACTGCTCGGGCATGATGGTAGCAAAGGGAGAAGCCTTAAAACAAGCAGGTAAATCAATGACAGAATCTGAGCAGCAGTGATAAGATAGCTGCTGCAGAAACTACAGCTCTTAAACCACTGACTTTAGAAAATATGCATCTCAGTCAGAAATATACATGCAGTAATTTCCTTTATTAAAAAAAATACACACCAAAAAAATAAAAAAGACAAAGGCTTCTCCTCAGAGGAGCCAGACAACATGGTATGCTTTGAATTATGCTCGTGTACAGGGTTACCCCTAGGGAAATTACAGAAGGTTTTCATTAATTTCTAAGTGCAGGTTTCCACCAAGGCAGCGTTCCTGGATCCAGCCAGAGAGCTGCAGTGTCATAAGGACAATAAATAAACTGTTGAATCACATCAGCTTGAACTATTTTTATGGCATGTATTACAAATACATCCAAACATCCCATTTCTTGCGCTTCAGCTTTTACCACCACAGCATCTCTGTGAGGTACAAAGTGGTAACATTTTCTGTCTAAGACAGTTGAAGGTTTATTTCACTTGGGTGGAACGAGGAGATCCACGGGATTTTTTTGAAAACACCTGTGTATTCATTTGTAGGCACCAGCTGTCACACAGACAGGCTCTGCCTCTGCTGGGGCCACCAAGCTCATGCAGGGAACCTGGGGAAAAGCAAAGACCCAGACTGGGGAGCTGTTTCCTACACTTGACCACTTACCCTGTGTTTGTGCCTTTGACTTCCAAGCAGTCTCTGAGCTTTTCAGAGGTCAGTTAAGATGCATCTTCTGCTGCTGTTTCCATGTGTTTGTCTCTCCTCTGTGAGCTGCAGGTGAAGCTGCTTTGGAAACAATGAAAATTAAAAACTTGCCTGAAGACCCTTTGGCAGCACTGACCTCATTATCTTGCTTCTTAGCATAAAAAAGTGCTCTGTCTTTCTCAACCCAACCATTACAAGACTTCTTTGGTCCCAGATGTTTCTGGCAGAAAGATCCTATCCTAGCAGGAGGATGGAAACCAAACCTGCAGCCCACACTGAAACCCTGCCATACCTGTGGTATGGAGTGTGGAGAACTGGAGAAGTTCCCCTCACTCCTTTGTCCCCCTATCTTTTCAGCTGCTTCTTCCCTCACATCATACATAATTCATTTCCACTATAAAGGCTTAATGACATCCACTTAAAAAATCTGTAGGTTAAAAAAACAAACAAAATGTTATGTTATTCTTGTTTAAACAGAAGACATCTGTGTGCAGATCGCTGCTTGGGGACGGGACAAGAGAACAAACAAGCAGCAGGTGTTTGTCATGCTGATCACTGGATGCAGAGAGATGAAAGGAAGTGGTGGCACCACTCTGAGCTTCATGGCTCCCAGGGATGATGCAGCCCAGGGCAGCAACAGGAGAGGCTGTGGGTACAACCCAGCATGGCTGCATGTGTGGTACAGACTGGGAACAGTGTGCCTGTGGGTAGCTGGGCAGGAAGGAAAGGCAATAAATATCTCTCTCCTGCATTTGGGAGGAAGCCAGATGAAGCATTCCTGTCACGAGGGTGAAACACTTTCCACTCTAACAGTAACTCAGGAGGATGTTAAACAACAGTTGTATAAGGGAAATGTTGAACACTCTTCAGTCTGGGTATCCTACACCTAAAAAAATAACATCAATTTTTAAACATCCAAACTATTAATGCTGAGATCCAGTAACACAAAAGAACCTGGAGAAGCTCCAGAGAAGAAGCAAGCTGATGTTATGCCAGCATATTAAAAAAGTAAACAGGATGGCCTAGTAAACAGGTGTGTCTATTTTGCCAGACATCATATGCGAAATAATGACCAAAAAATATGTGATCATATTGATAAAGCAGAGAAATATAAATATCAATCAACAAGGATGACAGACAATAAGCCTGTCAGACCAACATGATAAATTTTTGGGCACTGTACATTCTTCAGGATCAGAGAGCTGGTACAGCAGAGTGTGCAATCAAGGAACAAGCTCATGGGCAGCTTGGCCAAGTGTGAAGCAGGAGAGGAGCTGCCCCCTGGGGAGCTGGTACTGAGCATGTGTTTGCAGCAGGGAGTGCTAAATAGTGTAAAGCTTGTAACCTGGAAAAAAACAAAGTCATGATGTGTATAGACTTCTGTCCTGGGAGCCCTTGGCATCCCTGGGGGAATGGGGCTATGCAGCAAATCCCACTGTCAGCACCAGAGCCTAGCAGGTACCGAGGGGAGGTTTGGGGGGCCAGAACAAACCTGTGCCCTTCTCTGTCTCTCTTCTGCACCTGAACTGGAGCCCAGAGAGCCCAGCAGCAGCTGCCATGCCATGGCCGAGCCTCCTCCCTGCAAAAATTATCCTGCTTGGAAGAGATGAGTTCAAAAGGGATTGGATACGGCAGGGCTAAAAACTACAAGAGTTCAGAATGGCAGCACATCCCATGCTCATAGGAAGTGTGATTCCCAATCACCCACTTGGTTGCTGCCACAGCAGGACACAGCTTGAGCCTTTGTCCCATCCCAGCAGGGTCACACTTTTAGTCTGACACAGTGCACCAGGAACAGTGAATCCCTGTTGGAAATGCAGACCATAGTGACAAGCAGTGGACCATGAATTCCACAGTCACTTTATGGGTAAAAGGCTTGTTCCTGTTCCCCGTTTAAACATTCAAGCACTGGCAGCAACTGGATAAGAGGTTAAAGTTGCTCTACATCTGAAATTCCCATTCCCACAATTAGAATAGTGTGCCCTGGTCCAGTGACCCAAGGGACACAGATGTATAAGGAGATTTGGATGTGAGTCAAGAAATGGAAAATATGCCTTAAAGCAAAAGGGACTTTCATCAGTTCAGTCTGTCTTAAAAAAGGAGCAAGAAAGCTTGATCATAATATCTGACTCCTCTGGTACCAACAACTCAGAGGCTCAATTCCTTCCTGAGAAGATTCACTGATCTGAAGGGAATTCAAGAAATGCAACATCAATCTATGGTGCAACAAGGAAAACAGTTTCTAGAACAATCTACCAGCCATTGTAGCAGGGACTCATCAGTTTAAAATCAACTGTTTTCCTAACAACAGTGCTCTAATTTACACAAGAACTAATTGGCGGCAGCCTGTGTCATGCAGGAAGTTACGCTGGCGAGCCTGGGAGCCTGGCCAGCCTCCCTGCTTTATAATCTATGGAAAAAAACCTGCCTGTGTTTCCCTTCCTCTAGTCCAATTGTGTGAAAGGTCTGGCCTGCCCCGCTGGAGGCGTTTTTGGGAGGTGTTTTACTCAGGTTAGCGTGGGTAGCAGGCAGCCATGCCCTGCCTGTGGCCTGGGCTGCCCCAATGACTCCCTAGCTCTGCACTGAGGCATTTTAGCTTTATAAGGAAGCCAGTCTGAGGGGATGAAGCCAAGCAGAATCCTAGAGCTGAGGCTCCATGAATGACGAGTGCCAAGGATATGACACATACATTATTCTGCCTTCCTTTCCAACCAAAGCAAGGACATGAGACAGAGCAGGGAACAGCCCTCCCCATGGTTCTCAGCACAACACAGGAATAGCCCTGCAGGCTCTGACTGCCTGGCTGTCAGGCTTGCTTTTGCACAACCACTCACACTGAAACCAGTAACATGCCTCCACTGCCTTCACACCAGTTGCCTGCTGCAGTCAGTGGCATCCCAGAGAGCCAGAACCTCCACATTCATTAGGGAAAAAGCAATTCCACCAGTCTGGCTGGGATGTTGCCACTGCAGATGGACTCATTTGTAGTGGAGCAGCTTTCCTATTGTATAAGCTGTTTGTGCTTCCAGCTCAACTTTCTACTTCCCAGTAGCTCAGTGTTTGTCAAGGGCCAGCATGTCAAAATGGGTCAATAACTGCCCTAGTCACAGCTTTGTGGATGGTTTTGTTTTGGGAGAACAGCTCACAGCCTCCACAAATAAGCTGGATCTGATTAGTTCAGAGGCAAGCAGTGCAGGAGCAGCTGCAGGCTGTATCTGCTGAGTGGAGATTTCCTCACCTGAAGATTGCTGACAGATGCTATTGAGTAAAACACACTGCTGGCTTTCAACACAGTCAGAAGGAAGTGCATGCAAGAGCAACCATAGGCAGGACGTTTGTCCTTTAGGATAGTGCTGTATGTACTAACAGGCTCCACGGGCATGTGCCCCCACCCTTTTGTCTCATGGGAATCTCTCATTAGGCAGATTATATGTTACAGCTCAAGGGCAGAAAGTAGAACAGAAATGACTTCACAGTGTCCAGTTCCTAAGGGAAATGGGCCAGACTTCACAACCTGGCCCATCCAGAAGTGTCACAGTCCTGCTCACTTTGAAATACCTTTCTGAAGTGATAAATTAATCCTGAAGCAGCTAAATAAATGTTATCGAAAACAGAAGCATGGAAATGAAATGAAATCAAATCCAGCCGGGATTTGCTGCAGAATATAAAAGCTCTGTGCTTCTGTTCCTCAAGTGCTGTCTTCTTGCTCTGGGCCTTGAAATAGTCCTTCCCAGTATTTTCCTTTTTGGGGTATAGCCATAATTGGTTTTTAATGCATAAGATGTTTGCTGCTTATGTTTGTATACCCTGCTGACTCACTTTGCTACACCCCTTTACACACAGACCTGCAGCTCCAGCACTTGGCCTCCAACATTTTCAGTGTGGTTTAGTTTGGAGCTGCTCTGTAGCCTTACCCAAAGGGAAATAAGAGTCCTTATGACCCTAGAGATGGACATCGGTGTCTCACAGTTAACATAACAAGGTCTTTATTAAACAAGATGGAGTAAAGAAAGAGTATACCGAGTGAACAAGCAGAAACAAGGAGCTCTGTTCTTCAGGCTCTCCATCAGGAAAGGGTTGTTATCCTCCAGGCCAGACCTGGAAAAGATGGCATTAATACCAGAAGCAAAGTCCTCTGCTCTGGCTAAGCAGAGATGTACTTGTGTCCAGGAGACATTGCCAGCAGCAGCTCCACACAAGCCACCCAGCACTAAATAAAATCCACGGAAGGGCCTTATAAACCCTGTCTTCCCAGATATGGTGTGTGGATACGTGAAGGGACTTGGAAGTCCTAGAAGGAATCCAGGTGGGGTGCCTGCAGCAGTAACAAATATTGCTGTTCCCCAGGTCTGGTTCATCTCAGCTCATCTCTGATACGGATGCATTGAGGCAGATTTTATATTTGTTTTTATGCCACTCGGCATTTTTCCTGGAGAGAGAAAAAAGAAAAAGCAGTGCAAAATCAGCAATATGAGAGGACATTTTCTCAGGAGCACACCAGACTCACAACAACCCTGTCTGGGCTTTTCCAGTTCCATTCCAGGCTCATTTGCTACAGAACCTTCCAGCTTCTGACCTACATGGTCAATCTCTTTTAGAAATTGGCACCATTCTCTACTGACAAATCTCCTTGACAATTCCTGTGTCCCCCTGCCATCCCCTTCAATTCTATTCTTTTTTCATCTTCAACAAGCCTTTCTCTTTACCAGGAGGCTCCTACAGGAGTGTTGGACTTAGCCTCATAGACATTGCTGGCAGCAGCACACACAGAAGAACCCAGACTGTGTCCACTTCCATTTCAGAGAGTCACTATCACTTTCTCTGTAGCATTATTTATAGTCAGGGTGTATATTTAAATTACTAAGCCTCTCTCAGATTTCTTAATTTCTTGTAACCACATCCACCTCTTGGGCATTATTACTCTCTGCTGATACCAATCTCACATGGGAGTGTACTAAAAGACATCTTACTAGCAGCTTACAGTAAGCGTAGAGTGCTAGACAAAACTGAGATGATCTGAAAAATAAACAGTGATTAAAGAGCAGCACAGAGGGATATCAAAAAACCACTCATTTGGTGTCTTCAAATTGAACCAGAAAAAAAAAAGAATAACTTCTGAATATTAAAATTATAGTGCAGCAGGACAAGAAAGGATTTGATAAGCAAAAGCATAAACCAGTAAAGATTATTAAACTTTCTCAGATGTATCCATAGTGGGTCATGGCCAGCATTGAATGGACAGGTAACTGATAGATAACACTAACAATCAGGAGAAAAATACTGTTAGATAACACTCCAAGAGCAACAGTGAACTGAATTGTATGGTCCACCCACATCTGAGACACTGTGAGTGGTTGTGTTCCTAGTCTTGAGAACAACCAGAAAAAGTGCATGTAAGAGTGAAAAGGATGATCCAAGCTATAATTTTCACACAAAGTCATATTTAAGAGGATAGGACTTATCTAAGGGAAAAACACCTAAAAATAGACAAAGGAAGGAGACATGACAGATTTCCAAAACAGGAAAATTAATATGGAGAAGATAACTGAGGAATGATGATTCACCATTTCTCACAACATGGGTATAAAAAGAAAAATGCAATAAAATTACCAAGCAAAACATTTAAACATCAAAAAGTTTTTAAACAAAATGTGATAAAACTATGGGATATACTGCCATAGGTGTTGTAGAAATCAAAACTGTAATTCAAACAGGAACTGTAAAAATTAATGGTTACTGGGCCCAATGGCATCAAACCAAACTCTGGCTTAAAACCCCTAAAAAAAAACCTGTGGTAAAGATATACTTTGTTCTTGTATTCTTTCAGCCTCAGCTATGGACACTATCAAAAGCAGAATAGTGAGACTGACCTTTGCCAAAACCCACTATATCTGTCCTTATCCAGAGGTATTCTCTCCATCACACAGGCTCGACAAGTGCTGGTGGGCCCACAGAAGGGACTGCCTCCCCGGCCTGGATACAGTATCTCTGGATTATTCTGACAGCAATTACAGGAGGTCTTCTTTGTTACCAAATTACAGGGGAAATTACTTTCTAACTCTTACGTAAAAACATGTTTAACTTAGGATCAATACTGTTGCTCAAGTACACACCCGAACAACAGCCATTATATACAGGCAAGAAAACACCAATTAGGATATCCGATATCCTAAATTGCAATTAACATAAACATTCTGACAGTACAGGGTTAGCCTACAATTCCCCCAGGCCAAACCCATTCCTGACAGCAGAGGATTTTTATGTAGGAATACCAGAACAGGGCAAGCCTGCAGTAATATCCCTGCAGAATACCTATGCTGCTCCTAACATACTGTGGCTCAGGGTCAAGGAATCAGAGTTGTTATCCTCAGGATGAGATGTTGACTGATTTTTCATCCAAAAGTCTATGTACTTACTTATTTTTCCATCTCATAAAAACATTATCTGCCTCTCGCACACTAGGCAATGTGCTCTACAGAGTAATTATTTAGTATTCAGAAAGGTATCTCCCTTTTATTCTAAATCTTCAAGCCCACATTTTGATTTGGTCACTTTCACCAATCCTTCTGTATCATGGAAGACAATGAATAATCACTCCTCATTTGCCTGCTGTATATAATTTGGGATTTTATATGCTTCCATTTCTTCTCCCTAGCCTAAAGCTATAGCTACTAGCAGAGGAGATATCAGAATCACCCATAATATTGCAGGTGGGGTACCCAATGGATTTAGAGAATAGCCTAAAGATATCCTGTTTCTCTGTTTCTTTTCTAGAAATTCCTAGCATTTGGTTTGCATTTCTGCCTCAACTGAATACCTAATTATTGTCTTTACGGAACTCTTCTATCATAGATGTATTTCACAAATACAATTAACTAGGTTAGAGTCCAGGTGCTGGATGTGTAGTCAAATTTCTATGCTTATGTATTTCACTTTATATTCAACCCAAATGTCATCTACTGCTATTAACCAAAGTCACCTTGTATAGGAAATCCTTCTAACTTTTTACAGAAAACTTTTTTTTCTTACCTTAAATCATTATCATCAAACTTTTCTGCTTTATTACCTACCCACAACTTAAATTTCACAGGAAAACCCCCAATACAGATCTCTGAAAACTACACTGTGATCTCTCTCCATATTAATTCCTACGTTCACCAAATCTATTATTAAAATAGTATTTCAGTGGGAGTTAAGAAGCTGAAGCTGGCTGGCTGGGATCCACCTCACCCTCTGAGCCAATTTTAAACAGGTATTACTCCTCTATTACACCCTGACTCATGTTATTAAGGCCTGAAAGGAACCTCATACTTAATCACATCTAAAAGGTGACTGGAGAAGAATCTCTACATCTGCATTTGTCTTTCTCAGTCCCTGGATTTCCACTGATCTCAGATACAGAACTTTACCTGGCTGTCCTGCTGGTGCCATCTGCACTCCTGCCAGCATTGGCTGCTGCTGAGCTGGTGCACCTGTCATTGGGACCTGCTGCATGCCTGAAGCACCTGCAATGATGGCACCAGCTCCTGGCTGGCCCGACTGGACAGATGCCCCAGAGCCTGGGGGTCTCCGGTTTGACAACCCTTTCCCAAAGGCCACAGCTGCTACCAGTGCATTGGTATCTGCAGGGTTGAAAGTCTGCTTGTTCTGTCTTAAACCTGTAAGAAAAGAAGTTAGTTTGGCAGTTATTTTTAGACTTGGCAATCAGGTCTAAAAAGTAGCATAGCTGGTCCTGAATTTACTTTTTAGCTACTTTAGTACATGCATAGAGATGAGTTTCTTACAGGCTGTCCTACAAGAGTCTCAGCAAGGTCAAGGAAGCTGCGAAATCAATGGACACTGATGATCCAAGAGCTTTTTCACTGACAGTATGGCATAATCTGCTAATGGAAGGAGCACAGAGTGAGCTAACTCCTCCATGCCCATGAGAAGCTGCCGCTAAGGCCTATTGAATGCTGAATCCTATGGCAGGTAACAAGCACTGTGATTCAGATAAACAATAGCAACACCCCCTTATGGAAGCTCATAAGCATCATGGTGTCTGCAAGTTTTTTTGCCACACATGTGCCCAGCTATACTGTTATTCCCAGACAGTAGACAGAACCTGTGCTCAGGTCCCGTGCCAAAGATGAGAGTAAAAACAATGCCACTGCCTTTATGAGTAGTGTGTGGCACACCCAGGAATAGTGAACACCACAACCAGAAAAGGCTGGCCATGACCCTGAAGCAACCATTATCTAGACAGCATCACACAAGAGCCTGCCAACATGTGGACTCCTTCAGAACATAGCTAAAGGGTTTCACATTCACTGCTGCTGAATTTTCACAGCTATTTTTATTAAGTAAAATTGATTGGGAAGTTTTCTCGTCAGATACTTATCACCTCCTCAAAGGCAGATATGTCAAAGGGTTGAAGTGACCTTCCTGCCATGCACAGGTCACACAAGGAAGACACACTGCACCCACAGGCTTCCTTCTCAAATTAGGGGGCTCCAGGACAGCCAATCTTGCATCTTCTGGAAGGTTTCCATTTGTGCTACTCAACTGTGTTACCCATACTTCAGGCTCTCCAATATATCTATTTTGCCTCTAGTCTCTCAAGTCTGCTGCTTAAACCCCATACCCCACTTCCACCTCAGTGACATACCTCCACTTTCAGATTCACGCTCCTCCTTACTGATTTTCTCCAGCAAATTTGAGCACATTTTGTTCAGACTTTGGATCTGTTTCTGCAAAATGAAAACTATCAGAAACTGCCAGGATACCTCCAACTCAGTACAAATCAGCAAGATAAATGAACAAGCTTTCCCTTCCCCAGATCCACATAACCAAATATAACCATTTTGGTAGCTGAGCTTAGAGTGTCCAGTACTAATGCAGGAGAGCACTGTGGAAATGGGACAGCCTTCGCCTCTGACTGGCTGGAGAGCACCTCCTGTGAACAGCCAGAGTTGGATACCCTTGTGAAACTGTGGAGGAAACCAAACCTCAGCTATGGTCAGCTGGAGAAATCTCAGACAGGAAAGGACAAAGAAGAAAAATAAAACTGTCAAATGGAAAGGTGGAGGAAGCAGCTAAAGGGCATCTTGTGCCCTAGGAGTAAGAGACAAGAAGTATCAAACTCTTCTTTACATACCTGTGCTGCATCAGGGCTAATTCGAGCTGCATCTGTGATCAGCTGCTTCTCCTGCTCCTCCACCTCAGGGTCAGGCTTAGTTCGAAGATGGTCGGGCACGACTTCATGGCTGAACACCGGCACACGCCCCTCTGTCTGCCGCTGCAACAGGGGGAAAGCCTCGCTCAGAGCCTCTTCCTCCAGCCCAGCCCAGAACCAGGCAGCTCCAGACCAGGCCACAGGCCATGGTGCTGAATGAGGCTACAGGGAAAACCTTGATCTGGGGAGCATTAGGAGGTTTCATCAACTTGTCCAAGAATTTGCACTGTGCCCGTTTAGTAACAGGAACATATTTATTAACAGCAACACCTCCTGTAGAGTGTATCCAGTGCAAGTGTTTGTAGGTGAAAACCCAACAGCAAAGCACCTCTCAGACAGAAGTACTTGTTTCCCTTTCTTCCTTCACACCCAGAACTGAGGAATGCTCAGCTGAATACTCAGGCACTCCAGCACTTTCTGATACTCAAGGGACATGTCTTACCATGATCTCCTCATCGCGGTCTGGAGACAGCACGAGGGGGATGATCACCTGGTTTCGCAGTAGCGGGGTCTTCTCATGCTTTAGCACTTTATTCAAGGTGTTCAGCTGTCCTGAGAGCAGTGCAAAGCTGTCCAGAACTGAAGGCCTGGAAAAGCAAATAAAGGAGCTACAACATGGAAAGGGGATGCCACATAGGGCTTTTCTCTCTTCTTCACTCAAATGGCTGAGGAGTGAGGAAACAACACTATTAGTCCTCAAATCAGTCTACTCCAGACAGTAAACAGTAAAACCTATGGGTGAATACACAGGTGTGGACAAACCCCAGTCCTAACTGGAGAAGGCTCAAATGCAGAAAATACCTCAGGGACATTACAAGCAGTACCACTGAAAGTGGCAGTTGTGTGGGATTTCAGTAACCCACACACAAGAACTTCTATCTTTTCACTACCTCTCCCAGTGAAACTCTGGAGCAAGGTCAAAAAAAAAATTTCATTCTGAAGCAGTACAGCCAGGAGAGAAAATATTTATAACTTGGCTATCCAGACTAAGAAACAATGAATCTAAACAACTGATAATCTTTTCAAGGAGGTACTTTTCAACTTGGTCTCTGTGCTGGATTCATCAACTCTCCTGCCTTCTGCAACAATAACTATAAATGTTAATTTGTCTGTGAACCTTTGCTGCAGTGACAGACACTAAGATACCATATAGTTTATTAACCTGCAGCTATAACATCTTTATGCTCCATATTTTCCAGGAAGAGAATGCCATCTTGCAAAGCTCTCAAACTGTGGTAAAGCAGAATCAGCAAAACACAAAAGCTCAGTTTATATCAGAGCCACAAAAAGCCAGAAAAGGTCAAGAAATACAGAAAGAACCATTCCTCATTTTATAGTGTATGTGGGTCTCTAAGGCCTTTCATCAGAGAACTGCTATTTGCTGCAGATGCAAGTTAAGTTCCCATAAAATGTCTGGATTAAAAGGTGTTAGTGTGACTCTAATTACTCTACAGCATGAAGCCAATGGATTTCAACTGGTTTTCTTGTCGAAGATGTGTAATGGTTCCTCTAGCACAAATGTAGAAAGAAAATTTAAATGTATTGACAAGAAGATAATCTCCTGTCTGAAGAGCTTGGGCAGTGATCAACAGTGAGACACTTTACCATGTAAGGCGGTCATACTCATTCTCCAGCTTGTAGATAAAACTGACCAAGGAATTCTTCAGGTCGGCCACCTGACTGATGAGTGCCTCCAGGGTCAGTTCCAGCTGCTTCTCCTCTCTCTAAAAAAAGGCAAGACAGACAAGGGAGGAGGACAAAAATGTTGTGAATTCACGCCCATGCATCCATGATCCAATCTGTCCTACAGACAGCCTCCTCTTCAAAGGAAGCAGGGGCACTGGAGATAAAAATCCTACTATTTCACACTGACCGCTTTCCCTAGGGTCAGACTACTTAGGCAAGAGACTTGTGCCTGAGAGGAACGCTTGGCCAGCTGTCCTGTTAAAGATTTAGGTGAGTGAAGACATCATCACTTACACCACATCAAGCAAAGTCATCAAAACTAGCTCATGCCACCTTTGTAAACCACTTAAGCTAACCCAGAACAAAGAAGATTAGCATTCCCTCAGCCTTTTCTGAAGCAGCTGTGGGTGCTGTGATGTCTTTATCCAAAACAGTCTTTGCAAAATGAGTACCATGGACCCTGGACTACTAAAGTTTCTGCCAATCTTTACTTTCTTTCTGCCCATGTGACACTTCCAGCTGCCAAGGAAACTGGCAGCTCCTCCTGGCCTTGTGCCCCGTAGGCTGTGGGAGGCCCTGCCGTAACACAGACTGGCACTGTACCCACACACACACTTTAATCCTGCCTTTTGCTGGGATTACATTGTTTTAAGAAATCTTCCCCACTGACATCCCCTTCCGGGTGAGGGAGGATGGTGACAGACAAAGTGTCAAGACTGGGGATGTGTTGCCAAAGACATCAAGGCATGCCCTTGATTCTTGCAAAATCCCTCTAAACTCTTATCTACTCTAACTTACTCATACTACAGTATTGTGCAAAACATAATTAAAGTCCCAGCCCTAAGGAACTGCTCGAGTAAGTAGAGAACTGTACAATAATCCAAGAGGAGGGTGGGACAAAGCAATCAAATAATAGAAAGGGAATACCGATTGGGAAAGCAGATAGAGTGACTCACACTGTTGGCATGCTTGCTATTGGAATTGTTATTGTTCCGTTCAAATACACTGGCCCAATGTCAGCTTCATGGAGAGATTATCAGGCACCTTCCATGTTCACGAGAACACATTATTCTATTTTATTTGTACTCTGACAAGTTGGTAATCACTGATGGGACTTCATTTCACTTTAACCACCTTAGAACAGCTGAATCAACCTTAGTAAAATTTGATCCCCAGTCCAAGGAGTGGACTCATGGAACAGATTGCTGCTGGTTGTTCCACCTAGAGATAAAAGCACACACACATGTTGTGACGGGACTAGTCAGTTCCTGTCCAATTAAGAAATGTGCCTGCAACAGTTTGTGTGCAGTGTTTGTGCAAGGAGGTTAACTACTGCCTGCATTACAAGCTGGGCTGGTAGCCAGCGTTTTACTGCAGAGGTGCCAGGCATATGCACCCACAGCAATTCCCCTGGCCCCCCACCTGTGCTTATCCAAGAAGCCTTCAAGAGGATGAATAAACCCCATTGCACAAGGAGCACTCTCATGGCAGCAGAGCACTCCAACCCTCCTTCCCTAGGCTCTTCCCAAAGCCATCAGGAGCTGGAAGCAGATGCAAGCAGTGCAAGATAAACACAGTAAGACTGACCCCTCCAAGAGGACACTTTGAGGAGTTTGTTAGCAATGTTAAATTGGCCTGAGGTAGTAAAGATAGAGCTTATGGTAAGGGTTCTGAAGGACCTCCTGATACTGAGCAACTGAGAGGGAAAGGTGAAATTCAGAGTAGGTAAAGGTAAAACAATGCAGACATCAAAACAAAGGAGAAAAAAAATCCTGACTGGCTAAACAAAGGGGAAAAAAACCCCATGACTTTCTGTACACAATGACATTATCTGAGCTGATAAGGTTGTAACTCAAAAAGATTTCAGGGTTATCTGAGGGTAACCCATGAAAACATCATCCCAATCCTGGAAAAGCAGTCAAAGAAGTAAAAGTGACTACAGGAGTTATTAGGACAGCTACGGAAACTAAGCATCATTATGTCACCATATAAATGGTGCACCTCCTTTGCATCTCGAATATAACATGTCACTCTTGTCCCCCGAACTGAAAAGGAATAGAGTAGGAATATGATAAAGGCAATGAGGATGGTGAAGAATATTCATAGTTAAAAAAGTAAACAACAAAACATACAACAAACCACCACAACCCAAAAAAAACCAAACAAACAAACAACCCAGTGAAAAAGACTGGCATGACGAAGTGGCTGAAACAAGGAGAGCCGATGTAACAAACCCTATAAACAAGGAACAGCGGGACAATCTGTTTTCACTTTCTTTTCCAGCGGGACAAGCAGATCTGTATGAGGCCAGCGGGCTACGCTTTCAAGCAAACCAAAGGAGGTGGATCTTTACAGCCTGCTAACCTACCATTAATGCTCTTTTCTTTGGACAATAAGGATGCTACAAATTCACAGCTCTTAATAAAGTAACGAGGTTCTCCTCGATCAGCGGCATTCCGTCCAAGCGGGAGCGGGGCGCTCAGCCGCGCACCCTCTCACCCCACAGCCCGCGGCAGCGAGGGGCACGGCGGAGCGGCAGCGAGGGGCACGGCGGAGGGCACGGCGGAGGGGCAGCGAGGGGCACGGCGGAGCGGCAGCGAGGGGCACGGCGGAGCGGCAGCGAGGGGCAGCAAGGGGCACGGCGGAGCGGCAGCGAGGGGCACGGCGGAGCGGCAGCGAGGGGCACGGCGGAGGGCACGGCGGAGGGGCAGCGAGGGGCACGGCGCAGGGCACAGCGCAGCGTCGCCGCGGCTGCTCGGGACGCGCTCGGCCGCCCGGCCGGGCTGCCGCAGCCCCGGGCGGGCGCGGCCCCGCGGAGCGCCCGGCCCCGCTCCCCGGCCCCGCTCCCCGGCCCTCACCTGCATGGCGGCGGCGGCGGCGATGGCGGCGGCGGCCCCGCCCCGCTGTCCCGGGAGAGCCGCGCTTCCGGGGCGGGCCCGCAGCGACATGGCGGCGGCCGAGCGGCCCGACGGGGAGGTGGGTGCGGGCCGCGGGAGCGGGGCTGGGGAGCCGAGCCGAGCCGAGCCGAGCCGAGCCGAGCCGAGCCGAGCGCGCAGGGGACGCGGCCGCCGTGGGCAGCGCGGGCCCGGAGCAGCCCGGGGTGAGCGGCGGCGCGGGCGCTGGCCGGGGCTGCTCCGGGGCTGACCCGCGCCGCTGTGCTCCCGCCGCAGGTGGAGGAGGCAGGGCACGTGTTCCTCCTGATGAAGAAGGACTATCGCATCTCCCGCAACGTGCGGCTCGCCTGGGTCCTCAGCCGCCTGCACCAGGTCATCCGGGCCGTGCCCGAGCCCGAGCTGGTGAGTTGGTGCTCGGGGCTGCATGGTGTCACCGCTGGTGCTGCGCCGCTCAGCAGCGCCTGCACCCTGCAGAGCATTTGAGCCCCTTTCTCTTCTTTGCTTCTTCCTTTGGTGTGGCTTGATGTTCTCGTATGTGCCGTTTGCTTGTTCTGGCAGGTGAAGTCAGAAAATGAGCTCGATGTTCTCAGCATCCTGCCCAATGGGTGGCAGCCAGACGAGCCGGTCCAGCCCAGGCCCTACCTCCTGGTCCCCTCTACACGGGTCACCTTCCTGGCCCGTCAGTACCGATTTGTGATTGAGCTTGATCTGAGCCCTTCCACGGGGATTGTGGTAAGAGCAGAAACTGCCTCTCTCTGGGGTGTTCTGCATTAAAACAGAAACCCATTTGTATTTACTGAGGAAAGGTTTATTGCTCTCGGTGTCAGTCTGAGCTTTTGTAGAAGTCTTGTTTTTCCCGGGAGGGAACCATACTGTGCCCCTGCATGGGGATTTAATGGCAAATCCTGTTTCTCCATTGGATGCTTAATGTATGACTTCTGTTCACAGGAGTTGTCACTATAATCCAGCTGCCGTTGCAGAAGGATGTTTGCTGTTGGCTCTGCACAGTGGGACACCCAACAGTGAAATTGAGGGTCCTAGGAGATGAAAAAGCTGTTCCCTTTCTCTCTTTCTGTAGGATGACTCAACGGGGGAGATAATTTTTGATGAAGTGTTTCATGCCCTTTCCCGATGCTTGGTGGGATTGTTAAGACCCTTTCGTATCCCTGGTTCAGACATTATCTACCAGCCAGAAATCTTTGTCACCATCCAAGTGTATTCCTCCATCATTGGCCTGCAGTCCCACCAGGTAAAGCTCAGGCTCTCCCTTGGCGCGGCGTGAGCAGCTCGCTGTGCTGTGCGGGTGTCCTGGGAGCACAAGGAAAGCGGGGAGGTGGCAGCTGGGCTCTGCTGCCTGTTATGCTGCAGGCTTGTCTCACTAAAACATGTGGCCTGGCATGATGCAGAAGTGTGTGTGAGCAACTTCTCCTTCCTGGGCAGGAAGCAGAGGTTTGTGTGGAGAATGCTGCCCTCAGGCATGATCTTAGAATTGGACCACAGGGAATATTTGCCTCATGTCGAATGTGTGCTTATTGTTGTTCTTGTTTTGTTGTTTGGGAGTTGTTTTTGTCTTTAATTTATGTTGATTAATTATTTTTGCCTGTTTTAATTAGCTTGAAGCATTCAAGAAGAGCTTGTATGACCAAAAGCTTGTCTCCCTCTTCCAACTCTGTAGCAGTGGTTAATGCAAAAGTAGTTGTCTCTTCCTACAAACCTTATTTTTGCACTGATCTGAATATGCTGCTTCTTGCTGGAGGGAACAGCCAGCCCCAGTATTGAGATTTATCAGTGAGATTTTATTTGTGTCGTGACAGGTCTGTGTAATAAATTCAAGTCTGATTTATGGGGCCAGTGTTATTTTCGAAGTTCATCTTTGATCTCTTCTACCTTACAGTATTTTCACATAACTTAAGTGTTTATGGTCGTGTATTTCATCCCTTTGCTAATACCAGGGGAAGTGCTTGGTAACAGGAGGAGCCTATAAGTCTATGCTTGTTCCCTCTCTCCCCTTCCCCAGCCCTCCCTGCCTAAGCCTTCTGCCAGGGTTTCTGTTGTACATGAGGAGTGTGGCCATCACTTTGATCTGTTCTGAGGTGTTGCTGGAGTAAGTGTAGCAGGAATTTCTCCATTTGCCATTGATGTATTATGTGTCATCTTGGCCTGCAGACCATCATGCTGGGCTTCAGTATCTCCCCTATTTACACTATATTGAGCACTCTAAAGTTGCTAGATTTTTCTTCTTTGGACCTCCCTAAATTCCCACTTTGTATATGAGGCCATGAACTGTGATCTCTGGGAACAGCTGGATAATTATTCTTTTATGGAGGAAAAGGTGTATTGTGTGTACCACTTATCCAGGAAAGACTTTCTGTGGTAATCATTTATTTCTCCTGTGCCACTGTGAGGTCTTGCCCATATGAGGCTGAGGAATGTGGATAACATGCAGCACCCCACCAATCTGCTGAGGGCTTTGTCTGCATGTTGTATCTTCTTTGTCTCTGGTTGTGGACAGGGACTGAGGGATTGCCTGTACCAGGGCGGCATCTGTAAACACAGGTGTCATGCCTGTCACCCTGGGGAGTTGCTGTGGTGGCAGGCTTCCTCTGTAAGCCACTCTAATGTAATGTCCACTCTAATTGCTTATTTTCTTTAATTCAATTTACTGTTCCCCTTGGAAGATAATTTAATCAGTCTATAGGTAAGGTAGATTAGAAGAAGCAGGCCTTCCGTAGAAGCATCAGACTACAGTTCATGGTTTCTAACAATGATCCCACATCACTTTCTCCTAATAACTGTTTATCCTGGAGAAAGTCAAATGAAGTAGAAGTTTCTTGCCCAAGAAGGAGATTTCCTAAAGTGTCATGTAGGTGTCTGCTGTGGGATGCACGGCAATTGCCATGAGGTACCACTGCTCACACGCAGTTACTTTTGAGCAGGAACAGAGAGAAGTGGCCTGTGCTGTACCTGTGCTTTGTCAGGGATGTGTTTGACCTTTACTGTGCAGCACTGTGTTCACCATCTTGAGGGCTGGTGCTGTAAAATATTGACTTGGTGACTGACATGTGTGTCTTTGGGCCAGGTACTATTCCAGGGCTGTCAGCTGGATGAGACGAAGCGTGAGGCCTTTCTGCACCAAGTTTACACACAGCTCTGTGCCTTTGAAAACAAAGTGGCAGAGATGCTTCAGCAACAGTATGAACCCAAACCACAGGTAAGGAGTGCAGAGGTAACTGGGCTCTCTTGGCTTCCTGGAGATGTGCACTCTGAGGCCCCTCTGAAGTGTGGTGGCAAGAGGAAAAACACCACAGGTCTGCAGAAGGAACAGCTAAGGAGTTGGTGAGATAATGTTGTGGGATCCAGTAATGAGACATGAACACTGAGGAAGCAGAACCATTAAGTGTTAAGAAGGACTGGTGAGGATGGTTACCTCCCCCAAAGTTAATGTGTACTAAGACAGCCTGGCTGTATGTTATAGGAGAAATGGTAGGATGTGCTTTCTCTCTGAAGAAGGTGGTGGGAGAGGTGATTATGTCCATATAATTAATCTATAAATAGCTGTGAATATGCCCTTGTTACATTTCTTGAATAAAAATACTTATTTTTTACCATGAAAACTGGCCATGAAGCTGAATAAACAGCCACTTTTTTCATGAACTCCTTGAAATCTATGACAGATGCTGCTTAATAGCCATGGCTATATGTATCAGCAAATTAATGATAGAGTCCTAGTATGGTGTGGGTTGGAGGGGACATTTAAAGATCACCTCCCTTGACCTGCTGGCCATGCTGCTTTTGATCTTGCAGTCAAAGTCATTGCTGGTCTGGCTAAGGTTATTTAGTCCTTAGTTAGCAGTAGTTATTAGAGTTCGGGCAAAAAGGAAAAAAAAAGTCC